CATCCCAAACGCAGAACTATATTTACTTATTCTAGAACTATATTTGCTAGCCACTAATATGAATCTGGTAATAACCAGAAACTAAATGAAAATTGAAAATACCTTAAAATGTACAAGGTTAATACGTGTTTTTTGTTGTTTTCAGACGATACAGTAAGAATTTGTGTAGACTCTTCCTTCTACCTGCAACTCATATTTTGTTTCTGTAACATAACCTTTTTCAAAAGATGAGATTTGTAGCATTGTTCTATAGTTTGTAATTATTGCTTAACTTTTTTGTATTTTTTGTTGTTCTTCCTTGAACACAGGACCTTGTGTTTGTAAGGTAGGCAACAGAACCACTGAGCTAAACCCCAGCCCTTGGGAATATTCTTGTTGTCATTTATATTTCCAAACTTTTGTATTTTTAAGGAATGCAGGTCCAATCATGAACAGTAAAAAACACTTGTGCATGGTTGTATTACTTTGGGCAGATGTGTAGTCAAGAACACCACCAAAATCAAGCTTGAAGATATTCCCATCACCCCCCCAGAAGTTCCCTCATGTCCTTAACTTCCGTACTATCTCCAGCTCTTCTGAGTCACCTCTTACACAATGTCTTATCAGTAGAATTCTATTGGATTCGCCTTCTGTGTCTGATTTCTTCAGCTTACAGTAATGCTTTTGAAGTTAATTCATGTTGTTACAAGTATGAGGGGTTCCATTGTTGCATAGTGCTTGGTTTTTATGAGAGACGGCCTTACTGTTTTTCAAAGTTTGTTTTTTTCCTTTTCTAGCAGCTATTCTGTGTCCTTGGGAGTTACTGATGTTTTTAGATTTGTAACATTAGCCATTATTACAGGTGGTTGTATTATGTCATTGTAGTTTTGCTGTTTTTTTTTTTTCTAATGATTAGTGAATGTACTCATCTTTTCATATGTATCATCTTGGTGAAAGGTATGCAGTATGATCAAAAAGTACAGTGACTTTATTTATTCATTTTTAACGTTCATTACAATAAAAGACACTGCCATTCCCTTTTAAAATACTCCCTCTGGGGTTGAACACAACTCTTTTTTCTACTTTCTGAAGCAATTCTGAAAGTCCCCTTTCTGGAGTGTCTTTATTTGCACTGTCATAGCTGCCTTGATAACCTGAATGGATTCAAAACGTTTACTTTTTACAGTCATTTTGACTTTGGCATAGAGTGCCATCCAGTGAATAAAGCAGATGAGGACACACAATGATACTTTTACAAGCCTGTCTGTCTGTTGGATGGCACTGGGCAGCACCATTCACCATATATTTGAGCATACCTCTTAAACATGCTCACAAAAGAACAAAAGAGAACTTGCAGAACTGCTTCAGAAAGAAGCAAAAATGATGGGATAATTGTGTTTCTGTAATACATTTATATTTTCTTGGTAAGTTATGAGAGTCCTTTATATATTCTGGCTACAAGTTTTTTATGAGATCTGTCTTATATTGTACAAATACTTATTTTCAGGTAACTCATTTAAATGAGCAGAAATTTTAAATTTTGATGAGGTCTAAGTTATCAGGATTTTTTTCCCCTTTTTTGTATGTGTGCTTTCATGTCTTACCTAAAATTTTCACATATGATCACAAAGATTTTTTTGTTTTGTTTTCTCTACAAGCCTGGAGTTTGGGGTTTATGATAAAGTCTTGTGGTTCATTTACAGTTAGATTTGGTACATGATAGGTCAACCCTCTTTGTTTTTTTTTTTTGTTTTGTTTGTTTTTGAGGCTAGGTCTCCCTTTGTAGCCCAGGCTGGCCTTAAACTCAAGGTGATCCTCCTGCCTCAGCCTCCCAAGAGCTGGGATTACAGGCATGTGTCACCACACTTGGCTCTCAAACTTATTTACCTGTTTTTTTTTTGTACCCAGGATCAAACAGGATTTGTGCTTGCGAGGCGGGCAGCAGAACCACTGAGCCAAATCCCTGGCCCTTTTCCTGATTTTAATATGTGAATGATGTGAATGTCAGGTGTTCCAGAATCACTTTGTTGATGAAACACAGTGAATTACTTGGGTACCTTTGGGAACAGATTCACTCTTGATTGTGTGCCTATGTTAATGCCAATTTCTGAAAATTTGTTACTTCTAAAAATTCTTAAAATTATTTGTATTAACCTGTACTTAGTTTGGGCTTTTTAATCTCAAAGCTTTCAATTCCAACAGTATATTATAGTAATAAATTTTCTTTAAATGTGTGCACATACATATATTTTATGTATAGTTAAGCACAGGAGCATAAAATAAAATGGAGTTCAAAAGGATTTTGAAATTGCATGATTCAGTTATTTAATCATCAACATTCCCCATGAGGACTTTATTCTTAACTCTGTTTTAATAGGTTATTTCTGTCTTCAGGGTTGGGGGGGGTGGTGTATGTTGGTTGGTTTTGGTTTTATGATGCTAGGGTTCAAATCCAGAGTCTTGCTCACACAAACAAGGAAAGTGCTGCACCAGTGCACTACATCCTCAGCCTTGTTTCTTTCTGTCTTCCGAAGATGTCTTCAGTACTAGATTCATAAAATTTTGTCTCACCCCTTTACATGCAAAGTAGGGTAGAAAATGCAAGCAAATGTCTTTTGAGCATCTCCTAGGAGTGTAATAGTGCATTTATGTAGGGAGAATGGTCAGACTGGACATTAGAAGGAGCCAGGGAAGAGGTATAATACCCGTGATACTTGAGAAAAGGAAAGAATGATTGGATTTTACTTTGAGGAGCTAACTAGGAAAGCCAGTAGACTTGGAGTTAGACTCAGAGTAGGCTTTTTAAATGTTCTGAGACAGCCATTTTCTAAAAATTATTTTTCTTATATAGGTATGGTTTAGAAGGTTCAGTTCTCATTTCCTACAATCTCAGATTTTTATTCCTCTTCCAGTTCTAATATTATATTCTTCATGATGAACTTGTAATATTTATACTATCAGTAAAATAATCATATTAGAATCCTGCCTCATTGGACTTTTAATTTCTTTAGGCAGAGAGCATGTCCTGCTCACCATAATTTTTTCTTGCAGTTTCTGGCACTTACTTAGTAAGCATTGGAAAATGGAATGTATTTTTGTCTCATTCATTCAGCTTTTGACTTTCTAAATTCTGAGTCACTTAAATTATGGTAAAAGGTAAGTGATCTGTAATTACTCTGTAATTAATTAAAGCACCTTCTTCACAGTAACGTTTTCAGTTGGTTTTATCATCCCCTGTGGGAGTCTCTTCTATGCCTTAAAAAACTGGACTCTGCATAGTTCATGATATACTTTGTCATTCCCATGTTTCCTCTGTTGAATGAGTTACGCTAAATAATAACTTACTAAATCACAATAAATCAGGTGTTAGTTATCCTAAACCCTTTCTGTCTTCAGTTGGAATCAATGTTGTTATGTCTTATGTGCTTTAGTGATTGCGATGGCTAGCAATTTGAAGGTTCTTGTACTTTGTTATAATGAATCTTTAATATATCCAATATTTCTAACTTTTCTTTGGAACAATTTGTGTATTCACTTTATTTTGAGAAAGCACCAAATATGTAAAGAACAAAAGAAAGTTCTCAATGCTGGGAATTGAAAGGGGGACAAAAATAGTAGATGAGTTTATTTTATGAATGTGATGGGAAATTTGGGATAAGTTACAATAGTGTTACTGTACAAAAATTGGAAATACAGAGATGAAAAAAGTAATCTTAAAATCAAATAATCTAATAGCATTTGTCATTGCCAACTTGAGAAAAGTATTTTGTAGATAATTATTTTATCCAGAGGGTAATTCATGTAATCTCATTTCTCAGTATTTTGTTACAGTATTAAAATAGGTGTAAAAATTTACTAGGTAAGTCTGCTTTCTTAATTTTCTCCCATTATTTCAAATGAAAACGTTATGTTACTTAGTTTTGATACTTTATTTGGTCTTACTTTGTGGTGCTGGGGATGAAACCCAGCACCTGGCACATGCTAGGCAAGTATTTACCACTCAGAGCCCTCTAATGCAGTAGGGTTGTTACCCTTATTGGGAGTTTTAGGTTTGGAGAAACCAGTACCCTAAATAGTAGTATCTGGATTTATTTTTTAAAGCATGTGAGGCATTATATAAGTGCATAAGCAGATAGGTAGATGTGTGTAGTTTTTGAGTTTTAGGAGGAGGTTGGGAATAGAATCAAGGAACCTAATAGAGCATGATATCTAGTTGAAGTAGAAGTGACTGGAAGGAGCTGCTTGCCTTGCAAGCTCAAGGGCCCTGTTCAAACCCCAGTACCAAAAAAAGAAAAGAAAAGAAATCTAGTCTTGAAGTGATTGGAAGGGTATGGAGCTATAGTGTTTTCTCTGTATGTATTAATCATAGGTGGTACCTGGTGTTTATGAAAAACAGCATCATACTGTAATGACTATTGTAAGCTGTGTTTGGATTTGAATTTTGTTTTTTATAGGAAACCTACACTGGAATTTGTTAAATAGGAATTTAAGCTGCATTCTGATTGGCCCAGTAGATGTATACTCAGACTTGTGGTAAATTTTCAGTACTTCTAAATGTAAAATGAATGGATGCTTGATTTTTGTGAGTCTCTGGGAGCACATACTTACATGTGTGTAGCTAAGGATCCAGGGCTTGAGCCTGCAAAGTACTCACTGTACCTCTGCACTGTGCCCTCTCCCAATTATGCCTGTCTGGGTTGGGGTCCCCCCCAAAAAAAATTCTCAAATTTTCATATTTTTTCCTTCTTTTACCCCAGTTCCAACATTCTAATGTTTACTGTTCTGAAGGCTATAAACATAAAGTAAATGATGATAATGTTTGTTTATTCTGTGCTAATTTTTCTTGGGACAAAGGGAGATGGAAACATTGTAGGCTGGAAACTTACTATTCTGCTGTTATTACTTTTTAATAAATGATGTTAATTCTCTTTATTCCCATTTGTCTAGGGAAAGTAAAGTTTATCTCATATAGTTTATAAGGATGATTTTTAACAGTTGTTACTCTTGTACTTCTCCCTCAGCGTTGACCCTGTGCAGCAAAGAAATGGTTATGGAGAAGCCCAGCCCGCTGTTGGTGGGGCGGGAGTTCGTTCGGCAGTATTATACTTTGCTGAATAAAGCACCAGAATACTTACACAGGTGAGCTTCACGCAAATCATTGAGCATTTTTATTTAGTTTTACTTCACTTGGTATGACTCTATATTTTACCTTTCCTGTCTCGTAACTTACAGTATCTTTGTAAACATTTCTAAACCATATTTAAAACTTTAACCATGTGATGGCTAAACCAGTGTTTTTCCAGTTTTTTGACTGTTGACCACAGTAAGAAAAACACATAATATCCCAGTATAACACATTCATATCTGTATCCACACATTTTTTATATTATACTGGCATTTTATGTTTTATTTGAAAAAATAAGTTGGGCATGGTGGTGCATCCATACAATTCCAGCACTGTGGGATACTGAGGCAGGAAGATTACAAATTTGAGCTCAGCCTGGAAACTCAGTGAGTCCCTGTCTGAAAATAAGGGGTTGGTACTAGGAATGCAATTCAGTACAAAAGCACTGGGTTCGGTCTCCAGTACCACAGGAAAATTAAAAAAGGTTGATGGGTTCCCAGTATGCAGTTAGAAACCAGTGGCTTAGAGGCAGGAATAGTGGAACATGCTTGTAATCTGAGCTACTTGGGAGGCTAGACTAGGAGAATCGTGAGTTCAAGGCTAGCCTGGGCAAGTTAGTGAGACCCTGCCTCAAATTTAAAAAAAAAAAAAAATAGAGCTAAGGAAATAGCTTCAAATTTCCCTAGACTTGATTCCCAGTACCAGGATAGTGAAAGTAATGGTTCAGATCTTCTTTTTGAGTTCTCACAGTGTAGTGCTTGCTTTGGAAGCACATACAGTAAAACTTCTCACAGTGTTGGAAAGTGAATGTTATATACTTGTGAAAATTTGTATTTCTTCTAATCTGCAAAATACAGAAACATTGTTCATTACTTTGGCAAGACTTACCTGTAATCTTTTAAGATCCCCCCTTCCACTCTGAGATTAAAGTGAAATTATGTGGGTAGCTCTTGTTTATTTTGTTCTTCTGGGTGTGTCTTAACAAGTAGAACAAAAGTGTGAGTCTTGTAAGAAGGCTTTTTTTGTTGTAGAACACACTAGCTTATGTGAGTTAAGGATACTGTACTGTATATCATTGCAGCATCCTCTGGGAAAGGTTTTAAAGATTTCTACATCCCTGGGCTGGGGATTTAGCTTAGTGGCATTGCACCTGCCTCTCAAGAACAAGGTCCTCAGTTCAATGGTCTTCTAAAAGTTGGGCATTTTGAAAGATTTTGCATTTGTCCTACACTCTTGAATATACGTATGGTATTCTCTAATCAAGGAGGCTTTTTTTTATATATTTACTAGTTGCTTGGAGTACTCTACATACCTATATTATCTCATGTAGTTGTTAGGGCAATCTTACAAAGTGTAGACAGTGTAATTATCCCACTTTACATATTAGACAGCTGCAGCTAGTAATTAATTCAGGAAGATCACAAGATCACTCAGTAATTAAATGAGAAGTTGTAGCCAGTATTCAGTCAAAATTTTGGCTATAGAGCCCAACTGTTCTTGAGTGTAGTGTATCTAAAAAGTGTAAGTAACATACTCCCTCTCCTGAAAAATCCCACAATCAAAACCTATGTTTTTGTTTTTTGTTGTTGTTGTTGTTGTTTTTCCTTTTGGTTTTTTCCTTTGCTTGTTTGTTTGGTTTTTTTGAGACAGGATCTCACTATGTAGTTGAGACTGACCTGGAACTCACTATGTAGCCTAGGGTGGTTTCGAACTCACAGCGATCCTCCTGCCTCAGCCTCTGGAGTGCTGGGATTACAGGTGTGTGCCACCACGCCTGGCTGTTTTTTCTAATTTTAAAAATACAGGTGTGCTTGCTGATAGCATATGTGAAAGATTTGGAAGGGAAGTGGAATTCATTGTGTCAGATTGGGTCTTTTGGGCCAGGGATTTGGCTCCTTGGCTCCACAGCCTGCTTTGCAAGCTGAAGGGCTGGAGTTCAATTCCTGGTACCACAAAAACAAAACAGATGGGATCTTTTCACAGTATGAGTATAGTATTAGCATTTTTTAAATATTGTGATGACAAAAGAGCTTAAAACTTCAGAAACACATATGCTAAAAAAAGAAAAATACACCCTCATGTTATTGATTTGTTTCCTTTTGTTTTTTGGTACTGAGGATTGAACTCAGGACCTTGCACTTTTGAGGCAGGCAGCAGAACCATTGAGTTAAATCCCCAGCCCTTTACACCCTCGTGTTAAGTAACAGCACAGACTTCTTCTATTTTATATCTAGCTTATTTAACCACTTTTCATCTTTCTTTTTTTGGTACCGGGGATTGAACTCGGGTCCTTGCGCTTGCAAGGCAGGCCACCGAACCACTGAGCTAAATCCCTGGCTCTGCCACTTTTCATCTTAATGAAAATTTAGTTTGTTAGAATCTTTTCGCTAGTATAAACAACACTGTAATGACTTTCCTTAGATACACATTTTTGTGTACCTTACTGAGCAGTTATATTTTTAAGTTCCTGGAAGAATTGACTGTATCAAAGATATGATATTATAAGGCTTTCCATATATACACAAAGTTATTCTGCTAAATTTGTCTTTTGGAAAAATAATGCCAGTTTGTATAACCTGCCACTAGCATATGACAGAAAATACATAACATTTAAAACTAGAAGGGAGGGCCAAGGATTTCGCTCAGTGATTCTGGTGCCTGCCTCGTAAGCACAAGGGCCTGAGTTCAATCCCCGTACCCAAAAAATAAATAAACAAATAAACAAATCAAACTAGAAGTGAGTGGTTTAAAAAGCATAGACTATGGAGCCAGACCGGCTGGTGTATTTTGTCTTAGCTGCCCTCCTTTATATGTATATGACTTTAGGGGAGTTCATTTAACCTTTTCTGAACCTTGCTATGCATTTAAAAAAAATTTTTTTAAACAGTGTACTATGTAGTTTAGGAAGCCTCGTATTCACTGTGTAGCCCAGCCTGGTCTTGAACTTGTAATGAATGATCTTCCTGCCTCAGCTTCCCAAGTGCTGGGATTATAAGCATGCTCCATCGTGTCTAATTTGGAAAGATTTACTTTTTATCTTTGATAACTTTAATTTAGAAAGATGCTAATTATTACTGCTTTACATCGTGCCAGAGAAAAGTCTATAATTTGTGATGTACTTAAGAGCAGCATAAAAATATCAATGAGAAATTTGATGCTAAAGTAATTGTAGATTTTTTAACTTGTCTGGATTATTTCAGATCTAAACTGTTTTGTTACAAGCCTTTAGAATTAGTAATCATTTTGCCAGACTTGGTGGCGCACACCTATAATCCTAGCACTCCAGAGACTGAGCCAGGAGGATCATTGTGAGTTCGAGGCCAACCTGAACTACTACATAGCAAGACCCTGACTCAGAAGAGAAAAAGAATTAGTAAATTGGAGCTCTGAATAGTAAACAGAGCACTTGATCCTGAGAGAAATCTAGGTCAGTGAGTTTCTATCTAAAGAAAAATATGGTTCAAATACTGCAGCATCTGTTTTTAGACTATACTTTACCTCGTTCTTCCATTTTACAAAATAAAGATGTGATGTGAATTAGATGAGAGTAGCTAATGATCATCTATTTACTGTGCCAGACAGTCTAAGCATTTTATGTGCTACTCATTGAATCCTTATGAAAACCTATAGAGATAGTTACTATACCTCTTTTATTACTAAGGTAAATGAATTTACAGATTACAGTTAAGTAACTTGTCCAAGATTATATATCTAATTAGTGACAGAGCTATATATGGAGCCTAGTTTGATTTTCAACAACAGAACTCTGTTGTTTCTTAGACTTCTCGTGATAATTCAGTGATAATGTATATAGTTATAAATGATTTTGTAGGTTTTATGGCAGGAATTCTTCCTATGTTCATGGAGGAGTGGATGCCAGTGGAAAGCCCCAGGAAGCTGTTTATGGCCAAAATGTAAGTTACTCATACGTATTTTAAATGTCTTTGTGTTAAGATAGAAATTTCTTTTTTTTTTAAATAATTTTTTATTTATGAAAAAAACAATATGAGAAAAACAAGTAAGTACACTGTATCCTTATTTCCAAAGTAGTTATTCTGTATAAGACAGACAAGATTTTCTCTTACAAGGAAACAAATAATAGCACTGAAGTAGAGAATTTTCAGGCACACCTGGGAATGGTGGGTTTTTGTTTGTTCATTTGGTTTTTGTTGTTGTGGAGTTGTTTTGTTTGTTTGTTTGGGGGGGGGGGGCTACCAGTGATCAAACTTGGGATCTTGCGCTTGTGAGACAGGCCACAGAACCATTGAGCTAAATCCCAGGCCCAGAAATAGAGAATTAAAAAATAGCCTTATGTTCAGACATTTCTTCAGTATGATCATTAGAAACTCACCAGAATGAGTTTCAGTCATTGTAAAATGTGTTTTAAATTTTTAAACATGGATTTTCTATGAAAAATGGTATTATATTGGAGTGGGTGGACACAGGAGAAAATGGAATGTTGTATATCCTTGGTATGAAATTTCTACAAATTTGGACCAAACCTTGTGTCACAGGAATGCACAGAAATATGTACTCTTTACAGCTACAAAGGGAAGGAAGACTTTGTAGATAATACGAAACTTCAGTTAGATTCCAGGATTTGGTCTTAACAAAGAAGTCCAAAGCAGAAAAATGGCATCAGCAAGTATCACAGTAAAATAAAATTCGGTGTTGAGGTCAAGGAGCAGTCATTATAGTTCATGAGAATGACTAAATTATTACCAAACTAAGAGAAAGCAGTGTAAAGCCAGATGACTGCAGTGTTAGAGGGCTATTTCTTGCATGGAATGTACAAGCTGGACATGGTAGTTAGGAGCAGCAGTCTACAGGGAGGCACATGCCATGGTGGAATGGATCAGATGAATCAGGAAAATTAACAAGACAGCATTCCAGAGTTGTGAGGAAGTTGGCATTGGTAGGTAACAGTATTATGCAGGTAATGCACAGACTTTGTGTTTTGTCCCTACCTATCCTGTATAGGACATACACCACAAAGTGTTATCTCTGAACTTCAGTGAATGCCACACAAAGATCCGCCATGTGGATGCGCATGCCACCTTGAGTGACGGAGTTGTTGTCCAAGTCATGGGCTTGCTGTCTAATAGTGGACAGCCAGAAAGGAAATTCATGCAGACCTTTGTTTTGGCTCCAGAAGTAAGTTTGCATTTCACTTACCTGATTAAATTTGGTGTGTTGAACTGAAATTCTTTTAATAGGTTTATATTTGCATACTATTTTTGAGATATTTTATTGGACCTATTATACAATTTATATGAATGTGTGTGCACTGCTTTAACTATTTTGGAATCAAAAGTCATATGCTGATAATCTGTGTGAATAGATTATTAATATTATAGATATAATACAAAAATTACTTTGGTATATTTAAAAGGTAATATTTTGAAAAAAAAAAAAGGTCTTTTTATGAATTTGTCTTGATTCTTTCCCACTGAGAAAAGTTTCTTGGGCTCTGATTCGTGCACGCGCGTGCGTGTGTGTGTGTGTGTGTGTGTGTGTGTGTGTGTGTGTTCTCAAACCCAGGAGCTCGTGCTTGCAAAGCAGGCATGGTGCCGCAGAGCTATACAATCCCCCTCAGTGATCCTTTTTTTTATTTTAACAGCATGTTTAGCTTTGGAAAATTAGGTTTATCCAGATTATTTCTGTGCTATTAAAACTGAAATTGTATATGCCATGTAATTTGTTCTTTTAATATAATACCAATTTTATGGATATTCATAAAATATTTGCATGTTGCTTTCCTGTAGGGGTCTGTTCCAAATAAATTTTATGTTCACAATGATATGTTTCGTTATGAAGATGAAGTATTTGGTGATTCTGAACCAGAACTTGATGAAGGTGAGGTTACTCTGAAGATAGAAGGGTTCTTTCTGTCAGTGCTCTCTTAAGGACTGTAGTTTTTATAAATATGAATCTTACTGAAATTATTTCCTACTTTTTCCTTTTATTGCTAATAGAGTTTTGTTAAAGTGGAGTTTAAAAAAATCAAACTTAATTCTGCTTACTCTCCAATTTTTTCAGAGAACAGGGAATATTGCAATTGAATGACTTTGTAAATAGTTGCCAGTTTTTTGTATTACAATGCAATTTCCTTAGACATACTAAAAATATGTGTTAGAAATTGTGGAGACCATCTTTTAAAGAGATGTCATGCACTATGTATTGTCAGAATCAGAAGATGAAGTGGAAGAGGAGCAAGAAGAAAGACAACCATCTCCTGAACCCGTGCAAGAAAATGCTAATAGTGGTTACTATGAAGCTCACCCTGTGACGTAAGAACAAGACTTCCAGACACATTCCGACTGGACTCTAGTGTAGCTGCAGGGTTTCTCGTGGGTGCACTGTACTGCTGAGCTCTATCCTTAGTCTCTGGAAGCAAGTTTTCTATAAAACTATTTATATGTATGTAATTGCTAAATGTGGATTTTTTTTTTTTTTCTTCTGGTATCAGGGATCAAACTCAGATCCTTGCGCTTGCGAGGCAGACAGTGGAACCACTGAGCTAAATCCCTGGCCCCTTGGAGAGATTGTTTTACTTAATTCAAAAGTTAAACAATTTTTACCAAAGCAGTGGTCACTTACTATATGTAGAATGTATAGGACAACCCAAAGAGAGCATTTTGTTTTTACTTAATTTTACTGCTGAAAATGCAGGGTTTATAGTTAGCACTAAACATTCCTGATAATACAGAGTGCTTGTGTAGTGTGTGCGGACTGGTTCTGGATTCCATCCCAGTACCACAAAACCCAGATGTAGAACAGGCTACTGGCATATGGCTGCTTGTGCCCATTAGATTGGAGAGAAAGTGAATTTTGTCTTTTTGAACTGATCATTTATAGTAACGGCATAGAAGAGCCTTTGGAAGAATCCTCTCACGAACCTGAGCCTGAGCCTGAATCTGAAGCAAAGACCGAAGAGTTGAAACCACAAGTGGAGGAGAAGAACTTAGAAGAATTGGAGGAGAAATCTACTACTCCTCCCCCTGCAGAGCCTGTTTCTCTGCCCCAAGAACCACCAAAGGTTAGATCAGTGGAACTCTTCAGACCTTTGACCTCATACTTTCATACTTGGTACCATCAATGCAATGTGACTTTGGTTCTGTTTTGTTAAATTGACTAATACAGCAAACTATGTTTTGTCATGTATATGAAAGAAGCTGTGGTGGTGTTATCCTGAGGAATGTTTCAATGGTTTTTTTAAAAAGCTCCTAAAAGTGGGGTTTCTAAAAGATTAGCCTTGATCTGATGCAGTTTAATGACTTAGATGAAATCACCCCCACCCCACCTCCCAATCCATCTAAGGCTGTCATCTGCTGTTCCCTTCTGGGTGAAATCCTTTAAGCCCAGCTGCACCAGGAATCGTGCAGTTTCCCAGCTTAGGTTGGTCTGTAATTAAGAGATACTCTGGGTTAGATAGGATCAGTTTTCTTTATTACTACACCAATTAAACCATCCTGTAAAGGTGAGTGACACCCACAGTGTTCTATGCAAAACTTCTTTTATCTCTCTGTAAAGCAGGATAAAGACTATTTGGATAGCAAGAGGAGAAGATTCCTTGTTCAATTTGTGGATGTCTGTTAGTTTCCAGCTAGTATTCTATTCTTTCCTATCCTTCCCCCTTCCCTTTAACACTACCACATACCCTATCTTCCTCCAAAAAAAGAGAAAGAAATAGGTTTCTGTCAGGTCGAGTTCACTAGCATATTTAGTTGTTAGTGGTTGTATTTACCACTTGCTCATCTACCTGGAATATATATATATAGGAACTTGCTTGTGGTTCTGTTTAGTAGCTGAGACAAAACAATTACAAATAATCTTGCATAATGAGATTTTGAAAGCTGGCACATAGACTGGCATGTGTGTGTGTGCCTGTTAGGCGTCCTCCAATATAGAGCCATAGTTTAGAAATGAAAAGAAAATATGTATTTGGGAGTTTCCCTATAGGAATGTTGGTGGTTTTCCATGATTAGTAGTCTAGGTTTGTTGCATTTCCTGCAGGCTTTCTCCTGGGCTTCAGTGACCAGTAAAAACCTGCCTCCTAGTGGTACTGTTTCTTCCTCTGGAATTCCACCCCATGTTAAAGCACCAGTCTCACAGGTAACCCATCTGTGAACACATTGGATTGTATCCTTGTTACATTGCCAATTGCTTATTATTTTTTATTACATTTTTTAATGAGTCAGAAAATATGGATTAAACATACAATAAAGTGTATGAAATGTCAGTTCACCCACTTTAAATGCCAAATCTCCATTCATCTGCATAGGTGGTATTTAGGGTTTGGGTGTATGAAATATAGATAAAGTTGGTTTTACCAGTATGTAGTATTGTCATTTAAAAGGCTTCTTAAAATAAAATTCCTTTTAAAAAGTATAAATTTAGTGAAAATATTTTAGGTAAGAAATTTGGAAAGACAAAATAGTGTGGCATATGAAGACTCATTGTTTTTTTTAAAATAGAAAACTTTAAAAAATATACATTGCCTAAGCTCTCCGTCTATAAGTGGTTCCCTCCATTTATTTGAAGCCTGTACCAACTTATGACTGTAGCGTTCACCTTAACTAATCATTCTGGTATTCTGCTTTTTGTCTGTTTGTCATCTACCCATTTCAGAGCTTTCCAAAAATGTGAAAATAAGACACTGACTACTTAACAATGTCTGTTAGATATAGTCTAGATTTTACTAAATTTTAAGGTCATTGGCATATCTAAAGGCATATTCTTTTTCCCCACATTTTTAGTTCAACTTTATTCTGCTAAAAATTTTACATTTAAATTATTACACTTAAAATGATTAGTGGATAAATCTTTTACATGATCCAGACAGTAAAGGATGAGGTGTCAAAAGCTGGATGTGGTGGTGCTTGCCAGCATTTGCATTGCTCAGAAAGATCATTGTAGTCCAAGTGTTCAAGATCAGCCTGGGCCACAGAGCAAGCCCCCGTCACAGAAAAAAGCAGCTTGTGATTATTACAGATTTTTCTGGTGTTGGTGCATATTGCAATTAGTTATATAGTAGTAGAATACTCTGTGCTGTTTCAGCAAGTAGGCATCCAGGAAATGAGTGGTTACCTTAGATCATAAACCAGAGTTCCCTCTTAATGAAAAAAATTGGTCTGTTCAGTGATTTTCCTTTTCATCCCATCCAGAAACTATATAAGTAACTTGTGGCTTTTCTTTTGAAATCTTAGATTTGGATTTGAAAGCTTTAAGAGAGTTGGCTGTGTTTACATAGTTAAAAGTAAAATACTAATGCCTTTCATACTGACTGACATTGTGTAGTGCACTTTCTGTTTGTTCTCCCTGAACCCTGTGAGTGGTAGGTGTGATGAATACTCCATAGAGCTAGGATAATAGAGGGCTGGAATTTGCATTCATGCAGCTGGACCAAGAGCCTCTGTGTATGACAGAGGCAGACCTGCACCCTCCTTCAGTGGCTCACCTTAGGGACAGACTGTCTGCACTCGCATCTCTATGTGCCTGACCTATATCACATTCTAGCCCAGGACAATAACTTTTCACATCTCAAGTAATTTGCCTTAAGGTTTTGAGTATTTTTTGAAGTTATATTTAATATTCAAGGAAACTAAGTTGTATTTCCCACTCTTCTCTTAGCAAGTGAAATTTTTAAGTGTTGAGAATATAAACCTTAGAAGAACTTTCTGTTTACACTATATTTAAAGAACTGCAGGGCCGGGCGTGATAGTGCACGCCTGTAATCCCAGTACTCAGGAGGCTGAGGCAGGAGGATCACTGTGAGTTAAGACCAGCCTGGGGTACATAGTGAGTTCCAGGTCAATCTCAACTACATAGTGAGACCCTATCTCAAAAAAAACAAAAACAAAGAACTGCAAATTCATGATGCTTCACCTGGTTCAATGACACTTCAGTTTTATTTTCTTTTGTAGCATTCATTTCCTCCTTATACTTTAGATAATGGTGAGAGGAAATTAAGTATAATTCTAGGGCATGGTAGGCATTAATTTAGAAGTAGGTAAGTTAATTTCTTGGTAAAATGGTTTTGTCTAGAAAGTGACCAGTTCACCTGAATAGTTTATAATTGAAGGACATATTTATTATTAGTTGTGGTTATAGTGTCTGCTTTTACTGACCTGAGCTCCATTTTTATTTTATATGCTGTTTGAGATTTATTTGTGGAGTTCATTGTGTGATCATACTTCTATCTACATGAAATTAATTTTAAGACCCTAATATTGGTTTGTGTGGTACTAGTTATTTATCTGTTTGGAATAACTCGTTTTAATCATTGGGCCTGAAGAATTTAAGTGCATGCCTGACTTAGTGGACATTTGTTCATCTGGTATGAAAGGGAATCTTGTGAGCTTTTTGGTCTCATCAAATATTACCTCACAAAGTCAGGTTGCTCAGTCATTGCCACAGGTTATTTGCAAGCTGTTGGGGAGTATTACATATGTCTGGTTTTAATTTTAGAATCTTAAAGAACAGAGCTTTCTTTGCTCTTTATAGTTACTTTCTGTTGGTAATCTGTTTTGAAAAGAATTTTAATCTGTTTCATTCAGGACCTTTTTTTTTTAACCGGGGAATGAACTCGGGACCTTGCACTTGTGAGGTGGACAATGGCACCACTGAGCTAAATCCCCAGCCCCGGAGCCTTGTTTTTTTGTAACATTTGAATGACTGAGGCTTTTCCTTAGTTTTGGTATATTTGCCACTTAATTTTCAGTAATACACTGGCTTCATTAAGCTTTGAGCAGGGTACATCTGTTTCACATTCAACCTGAGATAATGTGTGCTTTTAGATTCCCTTAGTTAACATTTCCAAATAACTGCCTTTTTCGGGCTTCACATTTTAGATGAGTTATGTAGAATTAAACACCAGACAGGGTTAGCTCTGGTCTTGGGGATAATCATTAGGTCATTCTTGTCTCACATAGAATATTCCCCTACATGTTTAAAATTTAATTTTAAGTGAACCAGTAATTACTGAACATCTCTGTCTGACAGCACTATGCTTGGTTCTTTGGGTGATTTAAAAATAAATATGTAGTTTTGTAGGAATAAGTACATATAAATTACAAAATATTGGAGAGGGTTAAAATTGATTTTTAAGTTAGCAACATTCTAGAACCAGGTGTTGATTTCATCTTGAGCAAAATGACACATCTACATGGAGGAAAACAATTTGGAAGGAGCCGACAAATCTTAAACTCTGCTAGTGTGACAGTAGATGTATCTTTGGGATATAGTGGCTGAAATTATTGACAGTAAATGGTCGTTTTTGAAAGAAGTATATTTTATATCCAGATTTATTTTTATAATATGTCTTGGATGGTCATCTGTAAAGACGAGATTAATATTACCAGCTCTGGTTTTGAGGACATGTTCTCCATATCCTGCTGGGTGATTTCAGTATCCTTTGATGATTCCATATTTTGTTGTTTCCTTGAACCATAAATATTTGGACAATAAAAAGCCTGAAAAGGTTTGGAATACTGAAAATGCTGTTATATTGAGAAAAAGATAATAGTTATGTATGGTAATTTGTTAAAAAAATAGGTACTTTATGAGTGATTCAGCAGTTGGCAGAAAATTTTTGCAGTCAATACTACAAATAAATGTATACCTTTCTCAGAAAAAATAGGGAGGACTTCTCTATTTGAGATACTACATAGAAACACCACCCCTCACACACACACACACACATATGCTTTTATGAGCATTTAAAGGTAGAGCTAGCAGTTTTAAATGCTAGAGTAAGCTAAATTATATATTTTGAAGTATTAGAAATGTTGGTTTTAAGATTATAGATTGAGGGTTAGGAGATGTAACTGAGCGCTGTTAAATCTGGAGGGCAATAACTAGATATTTAGAAATATATGTCTTGTGTTCTTGTCTAAGATTAAGATGGCTTTTTATTTTGTTTATGTATTTACATGGAGTGTCTCATCTTGCATTTTTGTGATTTTTTTTTTTTGTAGCAATACCTTTTATGCTGTTTCAATGTGGCTATTATTTTAGTGGAAAAAATAGAACTATAAAAAGAGCTTTATTGTGAGTTATACAGCCTGAGTGGGAAAACACAAGCTACCCTACAGTCCTAGATTGGTACAGAATATCTTTAAAGAATTTATGTTTCACATACATAGGGTGTTAGGTTTCAAGCATTTTAAAACTTAAAAGTACCATTATTCCTGCTAGTATCTTGCTGATAGTTGCTTTAGTTGGCTTTTCTTCTGTATAGTATGTTTCTTTATAACATGTTTTTTTCCTTACATTTTAGCCAAGAGTTGAAGCTAAGCCAGAAGTTCAGTCTCAGCCGTCACGTGTGCGTGAACAACGTCCTAGAGAACGACCTGGTTTCCCTCCTAGAGGACCAAGACCAGGTGAGTCCACTCCTTTCCAGCCTTTAGTATTTAGCATTTGGAAAGCTAGAGAAGACTAAACTGGTAGAAAATCATAGTTGGTTTTATACACCAGTCTTTGTAGTATCCAGTTGCTTAAGAGATATAAACAACCTGCTGGAAGATAGTACGGGGCAGGATCGCACTTTCAGGGGAGGATTGGTTGTCCTGCTGTAGAGACTTGGAAGGTGTAAAAAGCTTGAAACACGTGTTATTTGGTTATTGTCACTGGTTTTAAGAATTCAAAACCGAGCTGCCAATAACCTACTCTTACTTAGCACTCTTATCTCTTCACAGATAAACACTAAGCACACCCTGCTTCTTCTTATTTTGGTTGTCTTAGGTATTAAGTAAGTTGCCATGATTTTTGACTTGTTTACATGTTAGCTAATATATGTATTACCTTTATTTGAATTCTGTAAGAATGTTTAGATTACTTTTGGGAGGAGGTGGGAGATAGTATATATCAAATTTTGGGTATTATTTTTAAAAATAAAATAGTGGTGTTTTAACTAAACCAGGAATCAAAAGAGCCAGGGGTTTGTGCTAGCTTTGCTGCCAACTGTATTTATGATCTTGAATGGGAACTTTAAATCCTGAGCTTCACTTATGCCGATTCTGTTACAAAAATTTTTCGTGAGAGGCCTGTCTTATATGACTCACTGTGCTTCCTATGGGAAAATCAAATAGGATTGTATGTGAGAGCACATGTATATATGCACACACATTCTATAAATGAGAGATAGGTAGTATTAAAATTTACTGATTTGGCTGTAATATCATATAATCAAAGATTGAGGCTGGGCACGGTGGTGTATTCCTGTAATCCTAACTGTGTGGGATGCTGGGTAGGGAGATTAAAAGTTCAGAGCCTGGGTAACTTAGTGAGACCCTGTCTCAAAATAAAATATAAAAGGGACCAGTACTGGGGGAAAAAATTCAGAAGACTAAAGCAAATATTTGGTAGAAATAGACACCTTTGAAGTTGGCTTGGTTCCTGGGTAATGGCAACAGTTTGGGTGGTTAAGGAGGAATACATGTGCTTCAATTTCTGACTTTTACAGTCAGACCAGTATAAAAGAAGAAACTATCCCTCTTATCTCCTCACTTTACAGTTTAGTGTCCTGTTGTTTTCTGACTAACCTACTAATAACTAGATAGTTCCACCTCTTCAAGGCACTCATGATTTTATTAAACTAAAACAGAAGTCTTAGTATTTTACATTCATTGCTTTGAACTATTTTTTATATGATGTTGTAAACTTTGTGTCTGTTCTATTCCTGTTCTCAGGCAGAGGAGATATGGAACAGAATGACTCTGACAACCGTAGAATAATTCGCTACCCAGACAGTCATCAACTTTTTGTTGGTAACTTGCCACATGATATTGATGAAAATGAACTGAAAGAGTTCTTTATGAGTAAGTGGTTTATTTTGCTTTTTTAAATTAAAATTTAAAAATTATCTCCCATTAAGTGAGAGTAGATAGACTTTTTTATAATGTAACCGTATGCCCCTCGATATAATGCCCCACTGCTAGTCTCACCTTGACTGGTCAGAAGGCATTGAAGATAGTGACTGCTTAGCTTTCACTTGTTCTCATTCAGTAGTAATCAGGAGAAAAGGCGGGACGAGTCAGTGTGGAAATGGAAGATACATATCAAAATGATGAGAAGATAACATGGTATTTCCAGAACTTCATAGGTAGCTTTTCTTGTGAAAGTGATGAAGGATAGCAAAACAAACATCCAGGCCAGCCAGCTCTGGTATTTCATTTGGCCTGCATGAGTGAGTACCTTATTGTCGCGGGGTACAGTGCAACTTTTGTTTCCAAATGGATCAGGAATGTTAAGGTTATTCATCGTGAATATTTTAAGCTATTAGACTGTTGTTAAATATTTAATTCTTGGTGTAATGTATATTTTCACAGGTTTTGGAAACGTTGTGGAACTTCGCATCAATACCAAGGGTGTTGGGGGAAAGCTTCCAAATTTTGGTTTTGTGGTTTTTGATGACTCTGAACCAGTTCAGAGAATCTTAATTGCAAAAGTAAGTGATTTAAATAAAGGGCATAATTCAAAACATTCTTATCTCTGTTGTATATAATATGATTAACTTGGTGCGTTTTTAAACCATAGAAAATGATTTTTTAATGGTAAGCTAAAAATAGTTCATTGTGAAATGGTATTTATGCAAAGGTTAAAGATTTCTGTATGACATTAAGTCTGAGATGGCTCATTTTAAGTTTCATTATTTAATAAGGTTGGAAAAATTGTATAGTAAGATTTTCATGAAAGTTTTCTTCTGAGGACTTTCTAATTTTTCTAAGGATGTTAGTGCATTTTCTATTACTGTCTAACCTTCCCTTTGGATATTTTTCTCTTTTTAAAGCCAATTATGTTCCGAGGAGAAGTGCGTTTAAATGTAGAAGAGAAAAAAACAAGAGCTGCAAGAGAGCGAGAAACCAGAGGTGGTGGTGATGATCGTAGAGATATCAGGCGCAACGACAGGGGTCCTGGTGGCCCACGTGGCCTCGTGGGCGGTGGAATGATGCGTGACCGAGATGGAAGAGGGCCTCCTCCAAGAGGTGGCATGGCACAGAAACTGGGCTCTGGAAGAGGTGCTGGGCAGATGGAAGGCCGCTTCACAGGACAGCGGCGCTGAGGCCACTGCAGGCCAAGTTTCTGCAGTGGTGCATTCTTCATCGTGTTTGCATTCTTGTTAATTTTTTTTGGCTTTGGAATGTGACACAGCCTTTTTGATCATTTCTTTGATGTGAAAAGCATCTTTGGTTATCAGATAAATTGAGGTGGACATTATTTCCCCAATTTCACAGCAGGATTCACATTGTTAATTTATAAATCTAGACTTGGTGAATTAAGGACTGAGAGATGACCATACCTTAATCTACAACAAAATGAACTTAAAAGGACATGTCCTCTGAATTCAGGTCCTTTGAGTAAAAAAAAAAAAAAAAAAAAAAAAAAAAAAATCCTCTGCTGCACATTTTGTTTAAGTGTTACTGTTTCTGCCTATTAATGTTGGAAACACAAATAGTGCAATTTGTGCAATTGGAGAATCTTGCCTTTTTTCTTGGCTCCCCCCAAAAATACAAACCTACCGAAACTTGTGCACTCATCAAAATGTACTATTGGGTATTCTGAACTCATTAACATTGACATCTGCAACAGGAGGCAACAGGGAAAAAAATCTTTTCCCATTAGAGAGTAGCTTGTGAAATGATGAGGGCATTTTATCTGCTTGCTCTGACCAGCGTGTGTACACATAAACCTTAACAAGACTACAGATATATTCCAGAAGGAAGTAATTTAGTTATGAACTAAATAACAAAAATCAGAACTTCAAATATTATGGTCTTGAATATTAGACCAGATTTAGTAGCTTCATATCGTAAGAGTTTTCTACCTGCCCCTCTTGAGTACAGGGATGGCTGGCTGCTCAACACACTCCTCCCCTTTTCCTTTCTTTAAGCTGTGTACAGTGGAAATTGTCTTTCCTGTATTTTTGTTCTCTGGTAATGTAATAAGCATGATGGTGCCTTCTCTTAATACATCATTCCAGTCTTGCTGGTAATTTTGTACAGTATAGTTTATGAATTGCCGTGCTGCAAAGCCAAACAGCTGCAAAATGTTGAGAAATCATTGAAATGTATAAAAATTGCAGTATCTTTAAAAATCAGTAAAATGGACACTTATTATTTATCTTGTTCCTCAGTTAACAGCTTTTGCATTCTGTGGGAGGGGGTCTTGTGTTCAGAAGGGAACGGGAAGGAGAAAGTCAGTTCTTTTGAGTCTCTAGTTGACTTTTCTTGGCTTCAGTGCTTGGAAAACGCATTCAACTTGATGTACATTTTTAGTCACATTTCAAATGCAGTCAGATTCCATAAATGGCAAGTAAACCTAAAGTGAGGATACTGCAATTTTCAGAGGAAAGAACAGCAGCTCTATTAAGTGTTTGCATTTTCTATTGGGGGGGCAGGGAACTGTCATTCATTTTGCACAATTCTTGAACCAATGTTAGCACCTGAGTGAGTAGCTCCTGAATTTAAGTCTGGGATGACATCTTTTTATTTTTACATGGATCTCTGAACAATTCTGTGAGCAGAGTTTGTAGCTGCTGAGTTACTGTATTGTATTGTCTTTTTAGCAGGTTCCAGTAAAACACAACAAGTATGGCAGAGATGATCCAGTTCTATGCTTGGAGCAGTCAGTACCTAGGCAGTTTCTGATGTTTCAGGCAAGAGGTGGGGAGAATAAGTGACCACTGAAAGCTGCTTGTTAGCATGGAAGACTTCTCCATTCTGAGTAAAAACAAGCAAAACATGCGCTTGATGTAGTAGCAGATTGATTCTGAACTATGCAACTATTTGCTGTTTAGTAAACTAGCAAATGCTTGCATGTGATTTGCTTTTTACGAACTGGGCAATAAGAGTAAAGTCAAATCTGTTGTCTTTTTTCACCCATTTGAATGAGGTCTTCCATGTTTGAGGAAAAGTTTTGCACTATTGCATATATTTGGGGGACACAGATTTTTCAGTTTCCTTTTTTTGGGAGCTTAAGAATTTGTATTTGTTTGAAACAGTTTTACGCTTTCTGATGTATAGTACTTGAAGTTCTTACCAGAAAATTACTTTGGAGTCTTGAAGCCTTTATCCAAACTACTTTTAAGTGAGTGGTTTTATGTCAGTGTTTTTTCTCCCAAGTGTATTTTTCCTTTATTCCTCTTTTTCCTTCCTGTATACACAAATAAATGTTATGTGTGTATATATGCACACATACAAGTTTCTAATCCAGGATACTGTGCTGTAATCCATGAAAGCTATTCTGGCACCAAAAGAAATGACAGGTGTTAAGTGTAATAGAAATTGAGAGCAAAGAGCCATTCAGCTTCAGTCTCTACGTGTCGCAAAGGAAACATGAAAGCACCGTATGGAGAAGTTTACACAGTGATTGTTCATCTGCAGTACTGTGGACTTTTAACACTTTGTCCCCTCTTCAGTGAAATAGTAAAAATATTCATCTACCATTACTGTTATTTGCTGGTTTTGTTTTACTTTTCGATGGTAATATTCTATCCTTATGACACTATTGCAACCAAATTGGCTTTACCATCTTGGCTTTAGTAGGTATAGAAGACAATGGATTACCATCTCTGTTGCTGTAATGTGTTAAGCATTATATGCTAGTAGAATCTAGTTTAATTGTTTCAGGTGGAAAGCATTCTTTTGAGTTTCCATTTTGAATGTGTTTGGACTAAAACAATAAACTACTGATGTCTGCAGCATTTATCTATGTCCCTAATTTAATCTGTAGTTTTATGTTTGCAACTATTTCTTCCAGTTCATTTCATACAAGAAGTAAAAATAAGTTGTTCTAAAAGCAGTTGTTTATTATTTGTGAATAAACTGTTTGATGTATAAACAAAACATTTAGGTAACGCTTGCATGTTGTTAAAGAGTTCTCTACCCAGTTAGGTAGCTGGCGTACAGGTGCACAAACGTCAGACTCGGTTGTAAGGAAGGTGAAAATGATCTATGGCAGACCACCAAATAGTTGTGTGGCAGGGGATTGGAGTTCCTAAATGATGGCTGTCTTAGGAAAAACAGGATGAGAAGTTTACCTGAAGTTATGGAGCTGATACCAGAGAAGTCAGAGCGGGCAGATTTTATTGAGCTGTACAAGAATAGTAAAGAAGAAATTGTTTGGTTGTGTTTAACCATCACTCAAATGAAAAGTGAGGTACCAAGGCATGTGTTGCTTCAGAACTGGAAACTTCCTTTAAGGTGATGATAGATATTATTTTTTTCTGCTGATATATTCATGTATTGCTGCTAATACATCACTGTTTTAAGAGTCCTGCATTGATCTTTACTACTTTACCCTGAAGAACCATTATTTAAATAATCTGAAGGAATTAAGGTTTTTGGAAGCTAATGTAAAAGCTTATCTAACTGTAGAAAAGCATATTTTTAGAGGGAATAAAATTATCACATACTATGCTGGAAATAGACCAAATTTGAAGGAGCAATTAGTCCAGGAAATTTTACTTTTACTTTTTTAAGTGACATTAATTTGAGATGAGATCTTACTGTATTCCCCAGGTTGGTCTTTGAACTCCTGGGCTTTAATGATCTACCTCAGCCTCTCAAGCACTAGAACTACAGCCATGCACCACTGCACTCAGCTTGTTCATTTGTTTTTTTTTTGGTGCTGGGGATTGAACCAAGGACCTCACTTACATTAGGCAAGTGTTTTACCTACACCCAAACCCAGTTCAGGAAATCCACATGGAGCAAAATAATTGAAAATTTTAGCCATTCAGGATAATTCATTTCAGAGCTGGGGATTCAGCTCAGTGGTTCTGCCACCTGCCTTGCAGGCTCAAGGATCTGAATTCGATCCCTGGTACTAAAAAGAAAAAAAAAAGCTTCATTTCAGGTCAACTATGTAGTTCAGTGTTGCTTCACCTGCCTGGCAGGCACAAAGTCCTGAATTCGATCCCTGGTATAGGGGAAAAAAAATGTTCATTTCAACTATGCTATATAATTTCATTTTCTTTTATGATATATCTGTATTACATAAATGGAGCATTAGTGGACTGGGTTCATGTATTTTAAACTCAAACTGCTCATTTATATTAAACAGCAGATAAAGGAAGTCTAGATTTTTCAGTTCAGTCCAAGACTGGTAGATTTTAGTAAGCTAACATAGAAAGTTACTTCCTAAATAAGTCACTGGCTACTTTAGACAAGTAGGGGCTAAAATCTTAAGATCTATGTGGTGTATGTACATGCTGTGTTTAACATTTCAGAAGGGCCAGGGATTTGGCTCAGTTCTTCCACGTGTCTTGCAAGCACAAGGGCCTGAGTTCAATCCCCAGTACTAAAAAAAAAAAAAAAATCAAAATTGTAAGTCTTTAGCATTACCAAATACTGGAAAAAATGCCATAAGTGCAGGTTCAGAGTTAGATATCTAAAAGATTACTACCTGCCAAAGAATTGATCCCTTTATCCTTGATTCTTAGGATTTTGATAAAGTTGGCTGCTTCCTTGACACGCTTTCATTTTTGTGACATGAATACCCTGCCCCCTAATGGTGATTGAGCTCAGCGACTCCACACTGAGCTACATCCTGCATGCACACACATGCCCATTCTTATTATTTTGATACAAGGTCTCACTGAATTGTTTATAGACTGGCCTTGAATTTGTGATCCCAGTGGTGTTGGTGTTTTTCTTGAATTTTACGTACATCTTGCACCCCAACTTCCAGTCCCTTCTCTCCCAATCTATTCTTTTCCCACAGACTGATGCCAGTGTAGTGTTCATCAGTGGGTGATTGTGGTTTCTCATGGTCAAGAGCAGGGCTTTGAAGACAGCCTGGGCTAAAGTAGCAGCTCCACCATTCTGGTGAGGCTTTTCTGTGCCCTTTCCTCCTTTGTGAAAGAGAAGACACCTGAAATACCATGTAGGCCCTGGGTGTTAGCTGTTACAGTGCTGTGGCTCCATGCTTTTCAACAAGTTGAAAGGACAGAAATCCCACTGGGAGGTGAAGTGGGTATACATTGAACACAGGGACAGATGAGTAAGAGTCTTGTTGGCCTCAGGAGTTTGCTCTTTACTCAGCAATGGGAAGTACAGGTTTGGCTTGGTGGGAAATGTAACAAGTCTTTCTGTTTCAAATTATTCTAGCTGTAGAGTGAATAATTGGAGTTCAGTAGTGCACTGGAGCAAGTAAGAATAATGTTGCAGCATGTCAGGAGGTATACTTTATTGCCCTAGAAGTCCAAAGAATTTGCCAACTTTGAAAGATTTGAAAGTAAAATGGTAAGGACATGGTGAGGGAATAGATGGTACCAAAGAAGAAGTCTGAAGTTTTTCACCTGTGTGTTAAGTAAAGTGTTCTGAGCATTAGGAACACAGAGGGGAAAGGTATTCAAGGAAGGAATCTGGTTTTGATGTCTCTCTGCCACATTTGTGTGTGTGTGTGTGTGTGCACATGCGCATGCACAATGCATGATATGCAATGCGGAGGGTCCCAATAAATACCTTGGCATATGTGTTGTTGCTTAAAATGGCTTTTATTTATTTAGAGACAGGGCCTCACTATCTAGTTGAGACTGACCTGGAACTCATTATGTAGCCCAGGCTGGTCTCGAACTCATAGCAATCACTTCATACTAAGTGTAAAACAAAGAAGCTATTAAAGAGAAGCAAACAGGGAGTAATATAATGCAGTGCTAATTCTGTATGAGAGTGGGGAGTGAGAACAGAAGCAGGACCTGTAGACTGTTACAGAGAAGTAATATCTGATTGTCAAGGCAAGCTACAAAGCTAACTATAGAGTATTGTTTAGCCAGAGGCATGACAGCTGAGCTACTTATCCATTAATAAGAGTAGGACTCATGGAGGATGTGACAGTGACAGGAGGTGGGACTTTCCCACCCAGGGTGGAAAGGAGGTCTCTGCATGAAGAATTGCAAAGCCCCTTGGTGCATCAAAAGGCAGTGCAAATGCAGCTGACATCAAGAGGTAAATCTGAGCCAACATAGTGTTGTGGCTTGGGTTTTGCTCCTGGTAGGACTGTTGGGATCTGAATTAGGAAGCAACATCAGGTGGCAGGTCAGGGAGCTCAGATAAACCACAGGACATTGATCAATAGTCCAGTCCTAAGACAGATGTTGGAAACAGAACCCACCAGAGCTGCTTGTGCACTGGACTCTGGATGTGAGAGGGAGGCAGAGCCCAAGGAGAACTCCTGGCTTTTGGTACTAGGGTTCAAACTCGGGTCCTTGTGCTTACAAGGCAGGTGGCAGAACCACTGAGCTAAATCCCTGGCCCAGGACTCCTGCGTTTCAATGCAACTTGGGTGGAAGGTAAAGTTCAACAAGAAGGAGAAGGAGCAGAGGTAGACATGGCAGGGAAATCAACAGTGATGCATGAGCTGTATTGTTTCGCTTTCCAGTTGAATACCCATGAAGCAGCCTGAAGAATAAAGTGTAACCAAGCCGGATGTGGTGGCACATGTCTATAATCCCAGCACTTGGGAAGCTGAGACAGGAGAATTGCTGCAAGTTCGAGACCAGCCTGGGCTACACAGTGAGTTCCAGAGCAGTCTTAACTACATAGTGAGACCTTGTCTCAAAAAAAAATGTAACTGGAGTTCTGAGATGTGGTAGACATCCCTGCCCAGTACAAGTGGGATATGAGTGGTACCTTCTTGCTTTCCATAATTTGACTATATTATTTTATTTCAGGAGCCATACTGATGATCTACATGATTCAAATGGGAATGTCAGATGGACTGGGTGAGTATAGCCCCTCCCCCAATAGCTGCCACAGAAACCTATTCCCTGGTCTGTGAAGTGGCAGGGCTCTGCTGAGTTACATGCAGCAGAAGTCAGTGTGGCCCCAATTAAAATCCTTTCCCCGGAATTATGGCTTCTCACTGCCTCAATGGTTTGTTTGTTAATTGCCCTCAGTCCCAGTACCAGTTTGTTGTATCCCAGCAAGACAAGCAGTGCTTGATTCCTAACAGACCTGCCTGGCACCATTGTGCTAGGTGTTCAGCAGTATTTCACTATATGCCTTCAAAGCATACCCTGCTCCTGATTCCTTCCCATGATTGTACTCAATAATACTGGATGTGCTTGCAGGCCTTTGTCTTTGTTGCCCAGAGCAGCATTGTACAGGTCCCAAGACCCAGCTTCTTCTAAGTCTTATTTCCTGTCTTTATTCTTGTATCTTGTGCTGTAGTGGCTCACAGGAGGCCAGGAACTACTGCAGGGGTTCTGACAACATCCCCTCCCCTGTTCCCCATGCTGAGGTGAGCTGTGTGCTAAGTGGCCCATGCAAATTTGTGCAGCCTTTATAGAGGACAAGCTCACCTAGGGCGAGGGTCCTAAAGAGAAGAGGCTGAGCACAGCTCTCAGTTACCCCTCAGATTGGGATTATGGCAAGGAGGAGCATGCAAAGAATACAGGGAAGCAAACATTGAAAGCTTTAGGACTAACAGGAGGAAAGTAAGAAGAAAAACAGTGAAAAAATTAGAGTGGGCTGACTGCTATGAAAATGGAACCTAAAATGTCTAGATGGTTGAGACTGGAGACTTTCCCCATCTCCTCATGTAAAAATAATTCAGAGGTAGTGAAGAGCCTGTGGTCTTGTCTGACCCTGATAGAGAAAACTAAGAAATTTAGGAAATTTCACAACGTAAGATAACTTCTGCCACTCACTCTGCTTAGTTCAGAATTAACCCAGCACTGGAGGCACCTAGTCCCCCAAAAAAGTTTTGTAAGTGAAAAGAACCATTGTTATCTTTGTTGACCAAACCTGCTCCCTTTACCCTGGCTGAAATAGGTAACAATAAATCTTAAAGGTAACTTGCCTAACAAAGAACTGCATCCGGGTTGAAATTCAACTGCCTTGCCACCATGTTTTGGGTATCAGCAGTGTGAGCTGTGAAAATGCAATGTAACCACCTGAATAAGATCAAGGCTGTAAAACCCTATAAAAGAAGGAGTTGTAACCCAATGGGTGAGTCAGTTGGCACCCCCATTAGGTGTCATTGATCCTCATCAATGGAGTAAACAAACTTTTTTATTTTACTTCCATTGTTTCCTCTCTGTATGTCACTTGCCAATTCCTTCTGTAACAATCCCACTTCATCACTTAGATCACAGATGAGTAAGACTCCCCCAGCAGCTTCCAGACTGTTGGAGCCCTCGCCATCACAGCCACATAAGAGACAGGATATAGAGGATCCTGGTGGGAAGATTCTTGTGGGCCATGATGGGAATGATACAAGTCTCCTTTTCCATTGCAAGGAGTCAGTCCATATGGCTCCTCCTCAGTCTCACTGGAGGCCAAAACCAGCCATGTGGAGCAGGAAAAAGAGGAACAAGTAGTCTTGTCCATGGACAGCTTGGGCAGGATGCAGATCAGAGTGACTTTGGGTAGGAACCACCCTGGTGAAGCAACAAGAATATAGCCCAGAGGAGGACAGGAAAGGAAACAATGCTAATGCATGTTGATGAGAAAGTAGGGGCTAAGGGGAGCAGGAAACATGCTCCCCATGCAGACAAACCCAGAACACACTATTTTACTATTCCAAAGAATAAGTTTCCATGTATACAACATTACAGATGAGGTGGGAAGTGATGAGTCAAAAAGTGCCTATTGGATTTGGTGTATGTTGGGCTTCAAATCTAGTCATCTTCTTAATAACTATACTGTGGTGACACAGTAGTAACATCACTAGGATGAGAACAGAATGAACTTCCATAGCAAGTGTCCTCCCATCAAAGAGCCTCAGAACTTCAGAATGAATCAGTCTCTTTTTTCTTTTCTTTCCTTTCCTCTTATCTTTTCTTTCCTTTCCTCTTTCTCTTTTTCTTCCCTCCCTCCTCTTTCCTTCCCTCCCTCCCTCCTTCCTTCCTTTTTTTTTTTTTCCCATGCTTGGGTCAACCCAGGGCATTGGGCACACTAAACAGAGTCCTGTGACTGAGCCACATTACAGCCCCCATTTTCTTGACAGGTGGTACAATATCTTCAGAACTTTGTGTTCTGTCCTATCTGACAATGAAGAACCCTGCTTGTCTGAAGCTTTTGTGACCTTTCCATTCACTTGGTGACTTGAGCAGATGGCCAGGCTCATGATGACAGGACTTCATAGAATCTACAAGTGGACCTTATTGAGAGAACACAGTAGGGAGGCCAGAGAATGTCCCAAGCCTGCTGGTTCTGAGTATGCAGAAAAGGACTGGGTCTGTGAAGATGTGTAGACACAGATACAAAAGGTCACTTAACAGATGGCTGCTGATATGAGGGAAAGGATGGGCCCACTATAAGCCAAAATACCTAAATTTATTGAAAAAAGACAGAAGCTGCAGATTTCTTCCCTCCCTGTGATTTATTACATAATATTCATCTTTTTTAAAATATACAATTGAGTGGTTAATGTATTTCACAAGGTTGTGTAACCATCACCACTGTTTAATTTCATAACATTTTCAGCACTCCTAACAGACACGCCATACCCATGAGTAATCATTCCCCATTCCCATCTAGCCCCACCCCATGGTAAGCACCAGTCTACAGTTTCTCTGGATTTTGTTGGGCCAGACATTCTATAGAAATGTAATCATATTATGGGTGATTTTTGTATCTGACATCTTTGACTTAGCATAATGTTTTCAAGAGTCACTCATGGTAGCATTTTTTTTTTAATGGTCGAGTAATGTTTCATTGAATGAACTTATCAGACTTATGTGCAGATGGATCCTAGGACTTAGTGTATATTAAGCACACATTCTACCATGAAGCTAGACCCCTAACCCTACCCAACTGTATTCCTCTGTGGATGGGTGCTTGGATTGTTTCCACTTTTACTTTTTTTTTTTTTTTTTTTTTTTTTGGAGATAGGGTCTTGCTATATAGTCCAGGCTTGCCTTGATCTTATGGCAGTCCTCCTGCTTCAGCCTCCCAAGTGCTGGGATTACAGGTGTGCACCACCACACCCAGCTTCCAATTTTACTATTTCAAGAAACACTGAGATATGTATTTCCTTTTTTTTTTTTTTTTTTGGAGATACATATTTCTGTCCAAACTTTCATGTGAATATGTGTTTTTCAATTTTCTTAGGTATCGATCTCCACTTTCATTTGCTTGCCTTCTCTGAATTGTCCTTTATGATTTCCATCCATGTCCTCCCACTCTTGCCTTCAGATTTTTTTTTTTGGAGATACATATTTCTGTCCAAACTTTCATGTGAATATGTGTTTTTCAATTTTCTTAGGTATCGATCTCCACTTTCATTTGCTTGCCTTCTCTGAATTGTCCTTTATGATTTCCATCCATGTCCTCCCACTCTTGCCTTCAGATTTTTAGATTTTGGAGGGTGAGTACTGGGGATCAAACTCTGGCCCTCACACTTGTGAGTCAGGAGGTGGAACCACTGAGCCAAATCCCCAGCCCATATTTTTAGATTTTTTTTTTTAACATTCTCCTGTGATGAAAATATCTCTCTCCCCCTTCTCCTATAGTCCCAGCTGATAGCTCATATCAGTGACTTTCATAATCTGAATCAAGTTTCTTTGATCTTAATTCAATGACATTTTTCTGAGCAACTTCATCTACACTAAGGCAGGACCAAACATTTTACCCATTACTATTATCCGTGTTCTGTGGGATCAGGGATCAAATCCTGGGCCTTGTGTGTGCTGGGCAGATGTTCTACTACTCGCCTAGTAATATCCTGGGCCCAACGGTTCACCCTTTAGCTGTATCATTTTGTGCCATTCCCATTGCTTTCTCTGATACCTTTTTCATCCTCTTTTGCTATTAAACTCATGTCTTAGACACTCTGTTTAATCCCCTTGCACTAACAATTCCCTAGTAGAAGGAGTTTACACACCGTCTATTCTCTCCATTCTTACCCTGAGGTTACCAACTCTTGTGGAACAGGCTAGCTGGTATCACTGTAAATGAATGGCTCAGGTGGGCACACATCTGTGCTCCTTTCATATAAAAATGACTTCCTGTACTATCTTTTTGAAGAATTTCTGCTCACAAATCCTGAAGCTTCAATCTTACCAGTACCTTTTATGCAGAAATGTTCTTTTACTCAGGTTTAGACCAACTTTCTGTCATTTTTCAATTTTCCCTCTTTAAATGTTTTCTTGTCCAGCCTAAGCCATTATACTTTAGAACCTTGTCTTCATTACCTCTCCTTGGTTTTTAAAATTACTCATTTTGTTGCCTCGTTAAAGCCTCTACTCTTTTTCTCTACAAATATTTATCTCCTTAAAAAGAAAACACTGTCTTGTGTCTGAATACTACTTCTCCTTCAACAATCCTATAGATGACTTTTCCTAGGATGCATAATTCTTGAATAATTAATTCTCGGCCATTGCCCCAGCTTGGACTCAGAGCCACCTGTGCTGCGTGGCCCAGCCCAAACTACAGGCCTCCTCTGGAGCCGCTCTGTTTCCAGTGATTGGTTCCAACACAGCGCCAGGAGAGTGAGTTTTGCGTTATCGCCCCGGCTTGGACTCAGAGTCACCTCTGCTGTGTAGCCCGGCCCAAAATACAGGCCTCCTCTGGAGCCGCACCATTTCCAGCAGGCGCCAGTGATTGGCTCCGACACAGCACCAGAAGGGCAGCTGTGTGGGCGCTGCTGAGCACCATCGCAACCCCCCCCCCGGCTATTAGATCCCCTGATTGAGCCAGTCCTTGGATGCATGCAGAGGCATGATGGGCTATAAAGGGTGGTGATTGATCCTATTACGTTCCTGATTGTATTGATAGGGACAAAGGATAGGGATTGATTTGATGAGTTGTTTTCTCAATTATGAAAATGAGAATGTCTATGAGTCATTAGAGAATCAAAGACTGGGACGCAACGATATCAGGAAGATTTGATGACCCAGAGATTGAAGCAAGGGCAACCCAACAGCAAAAATAAAGATGAGAAAACACTTAAGCAAGACACAAAAACAGACTTCCAGTCCACTAATGTCAAACAATAGGGCAAAGGAGGACGAAAAATCAGATAGTGAATCTCCAGGACACTCAGAACTCACAACACAGGAAGTAAAAAAAACTGATCAATCAAGCTCTAGAAAAATTCAAAACAGAAATTATTTCCCAGATAACCATAGAGATGGTGAGCAAAATGAAAGAAATGATTCCAGACTCTAGAACAGAAACTGACAAAAAAACAGATGAGCTTAGGAACATAATAGAAACCATGAAGGCTCAGAATAAGAAAGAAATGGAAACAATGGACACCCAACATAGGAAAGAAATGGAATCCATTAAACAGATTCAAACAGATATCCAGGAGATTAAAAATTATTGAAAGCGTACACAACAGAATAAAAGATTGCGAAGATAGAATCTCAGATATAGAAGATAGCATAGCAGTGACCATGTAAAGAGAGGTCTCTTAAAAACAGTCAGGGAGCATGAGAAATCAATCCAACAACTCCTAGGTGATGCAAAGAAGAATAACATAAGACTGATAGGTATCCATGAAGTACCAGGAGAAAATGCAAATGACTTTAAAAAGCTGTTCAAAGAATTCATGACAGAAAACTTCCCAGAGGGGAAGAATTAGACATACAGATAAGCGAGGCATATAGGACACCAACTAGCCACAATAAAAAAAAAAAAATCTATTACTAGACATATAATAATCAAGATCCCAGAAACCCAACAGAAGAACAAAATACTACAAACAGTAAGAGAAAAGAAACAAATCACATGCAAAGGAAAGCCCATCAGAATCATAGCAAACTTTTTCAACACAAACCCTCAAGGTCAAGGAGAGCCTGGAGTGAGGTATTTCAAGTCCTAAAAGAAAACCTACAACCAACACTGATGTATCCTGCAAAACTCTCTTTCAAAATGGATGGACAAATGAGATACTTCCATGACAATGAACACTTGAGAAACTTCATGAATACTAAACCAGCACTACAAAGAATTTTAAACAATATCCTAGAAAAAGACAATGAAGATCACAACACCAGGAGGCCCAACAGAGCAAATCAAATAGCCAAGGCAAGAAACTAAAACGAGAGGACAAAAAATAAAAAGAGTCAACAAAAGGACAATAACATGACAATAATAAGTCAGTACATATCAGTTATAACTATCAATGTCAATGGCCTCAATTGACCAATCAAGAGAAATAGATTGGCAGAATGGATTAAGAAGCAAAATCCAACAATATGCTGTATAAAAGAAACACATATAGTGCAAAAGGAAGCCCATAGACTGAAAGTGAAAGGATGGAAAACAATTCTGCATGTGACAGGAGCCCAGAAAAAAGCGCAGGGGTAGCAATCTTATTCGCAGACAAAGCAAACTTCAAATCAAAACTGATTAAGAGAAACAAAGAAGGCCACTACATCCTTGTAAAGGGAACAATCCAAGAGGAAAAAATGACGATCATAAACATATATGTACCAAATATAAATGCCCCCAACTATATAAAACAAATATTAAGTAACATGAAAAACCAAATAACCACTAATCCAATTGTAGTGGGGGATCTGAATACCCCACTATCACAAATAGACAGATCATCTAGGCAAAAAGTCAACAATGAAATACTAGAACTGAACCAAGCTTTTGAATGTATGGACTTATTAGACGTCTATAGAGTGTTCCACCCCACAAAATCTGAATATACATTCTTTTCAGCTGCACATGGGTCATTCTCCAAGATCGCTCACATACTAGCTCACAAAACAGGTTTGAATAAATGCAAAAGAATTGAAGTTATTCCCTGTATATTATCAGATCACAGTGCAATAAAGCTGGAGAACAATAGCATAAGAAACCGTAGAACTTCACAAACACATGGAAATTGAACAACACTCTCCTGAACAATCAAGGGATCACAGAGGAAATTAAAGAAGAAATCAGACAGTTTTTACAAATAAACTAAAATGCCAGTACAATATACAGGAAACTGGGACACAATGAAAGCAGTTCTGTGTGGAAAATTCATGGCACTGAATGCCCACATTAGGAAAACAGAGCAAGCTCAAATAAATAACCTAATGACGACTCTTAGACTCCAAGAAAAAAAAGAGCAAGAAAAACCCAAAGCTCAAACAAGAGAGGAAATTATAAAGATTAGAGCAGAAATCAATGCAGTGGAAACTAAAAAAATGATACAAAAAATAAATGAATTGAAGAGTTGGTTTTTTGAAAGAATAAAATTGATAAACCCTTAGCAAACTTTATCAAAAAAAGGAAAGAAAAGGCTCAGATGCATATAGTCAGGAATGAAAAAGGCAAAGTCACAACAGATCCCACAGAAATCCAGAGGATTATTAATACATACTATGAGAACCTGTACTCTAATAAAATGGAAAACAGAAGAAATGTACAGATTTCTAGATACTTATGAATTACCAAAGTTGAACAAAGAAGATAAAAACATTTTAAACACCCCAATCACAATCAGTGAAATTGAAAATATAATTAAAAACTTACCAACAAAGAAAAGCCCAGGTCCTGATGGATTCACTGCTGAATTTTACAAGACATTTAGAGAAGATCTACTGCCATTACTCTTCAGACTTTTCAATGAAATTGAAAGAGAAGCAATAGTTCCAAATTCATTCCTGGAAGCAAATATCACTTTCATTCCCAAGCCTGGGAAAGATGTAACTAAAAAAGAGAACTACAGGCCAACCTCCTTAATGAATATAGATGCAAAAATCCTCAATAAGATACTGGCAAACAGAATACAGAGGATCATCAAGAAGATCATCCATCCTGACCAAGTCAGATTTATTCCAGGGATGCAAGGATGGTTCAACATACATAAATCAATAAATATAATACACAGGGCCAGGGATTTAGCTCAGCAGTTCAGTGGCCTGCCTTGCAAGCACAAGGACCCGAGTTCAATCCCCGGTACCAAAAAATAAAAAAATTAAAAATTAAAAAAATTTAAAAAAATAAATATAATACACTATATTAACAAAGTCAAGGACAAGAACTACATGATCTTCTCAAAAGATGCAGAAAAGGCATTTGACAAAATTCAACACCCATTCATGATAAAAACTCTGCAAAAAATTGGAATAGATGGTCTATATCTAAACTTAATAAAGGCTATCTATTAAAAACCAACAGCCAACATCATATTAAATGGCCAAAAACTGAAAACCTTCACGTTAAAATCATGAACAAGACAAGAATGCCCACTATCACCACTCCTCTTCTATATAGTTCTGGAAATATTAGCCATGGCAATTAGACAAGAGAAAGAAATTAAAGCAACAAAGATAGGAAAGGAAGATGTTAAACTGTCATTATTTGCTGATGATATGATACTCTACATTGAAGACCCAAAAAACTCCACCAAAAGACTTCTTGACTTAATTGACACTTTTAGCAGAGTAGCTGGATACAAGGTCAACACCAAAAATCAATAGTGTTCTTCTGCACAAATAACAGACTCACTGAGAGAGAAATTAGGGAAACAGTTCCTTTCACAATAGCACCCCCCCCAAAAAAAAAAAACTATCTGGGAATCAATCTAACAAAAGAAGAAAAAGACCTCTACACTGAAAACTACAGCACTCTGAAAAAAGAGATCGAAGAAGATATAAGAAAATGGAATGATATCCCCTGCTCCTGGGTAGGAAGAATCAACATAGTGAAAATGGCCATACTACCCATACTGCTGTACAGATTCAATGCAATACCAATTGAAATCCCAACACTATACTTCACAGAACTAGAAAGAAGAATCCAAAAATTCATTTGGAACCATAAATGACCTAGAATAGCAAAAGCCATCCTAGGCAACAGACACATGACAGCGGGTATAACAATTCCCAATTTGAAACTATACTACAAAGCCACTGTGATAAAAACAGCATGGTACTGGCAAAGAAGCAGACCTGAGGATCAGTGGAAGAGATTGGAAGACACAAAAACAACTCCAGATGCACTCATCTACCTCATCTTTGACAAAGGAGCTGCCAGTCCCCACTGAAGGAAAGATAGCCTCTTTAATACATGGTGTTGGAAAAATTGGATCTCAACCTGCAAAAGATTAAAACTAGACCCTTATCTGTCACCATGTACTAAATTAAAATCCGAGTGGATTAAAGATCTAAATATAAAAACAAAAACACTAAACTTGCTGGATGATAAGTTAGGCAGAACTCTTGAAGACATTGGCATAGGAAAGGACTTTATGAACAGATCCTCAGTAGCACGGGAACTAGCAGAAAGAATCAACAACTGGGATCTCATCTTATTAAAAAGCTTCTGCACTGCAAAAGAGACCATCAACAGAACTAAGAGACAACCTACAATGTGGGAAAAAAATTTTACCAGCTGCTCCTCAGACAAGGATTATTATCTAAAATATATACAGAACTCAAAACAACCAGCTCCCCCAAATACAAAGACCCAATTAAAAAATGGGCATCTGAAATGAACAGACATTTCTCAGACAAAGAAATCAAAGTGGCAAGTAAATATATGAAAAAATGCTTCACATCACTTGTCATTCGAGAGATGCAGATGAAAACAACACTGAGATTTCACCTCACCCCACAAAGAATGGCTGCTATCAAGAAATTACACAATAACAAATGTTGGGGCAGTTGTGGGGAGAAAGAAACCCTTCTCCATTGGTGGTGGGAGTGCAGACTGGTCCAACCACTATGGAAATCAATATGTAGATACCTCAAAGAACTAGGATTAGAGGTTCCATTTGACCCAGCCATCCCTCTGTTGGGTATCTTCCCAAAAGAATTAAAAGCATCATACCACAGTGATATATGCACACCCGTGTTAATAGGGGCACAGTTTGTAATAGCTAAAACTTGCAAATAGCCCATCTGCCCATCAATTGGAAACTGGATAAAGAAGATGTGGTTTTTCTATAAAATGGAATATTACTCAGCCATAAAGAATGAGAAAGTAGATTCATTCATAGGTAAATGGGTCCATTTTGAGGATATACTCCTAAGTGAAATAAATAAGTCACACATATGCAAATACCGAATAGTTTCTATGGTGTGAAAAACTAAAATAGTACTCAAGATCCTAACAGGACAATTAGCAACGTGAAATAGGAAGAAAAGAACCAAAGGTGTAGGGACAGTGAGAAGGATAGGGAAAGGGGAACAAGGGAAAAGGAAAAAAGTATGAGAAAATGTAAAAATGGAATTAAAGTGTTTGAAGGTGGGGAGGAGAGGAGGGGTTGAAGGGAGGGTGGGGACAAGGGGAAAAAAAGATAACCAAGACCTGGCACGTAAAGGTGCAAGATCCCAGTAATGAATGTAACTCTGTACTGTCTACCTAGAATGTACCAATAAATTCAATTTAAAATAAAACAATAATTCCCTCTCTTTCTCTCTCCCTCTCTATCTCTCCAGACAACACTACACTGTTCTGGGCTGCTTGTCAAAACTCTCTGTGAAGCTCAGACATTGCTTAAAACTTGTTATCCTCCTGCCTGTGCCTCTCATAGTTCTGGGATTACAGGTGTCCACCATCACGCCCTGCTCACGTTTGCCCTTTTGTTCTTTAGCTTGAGGCCAAAGCAACCTAGATCTGTCCCTCATACAAAAGAAGCTCATCAGATTCTGTTGTATCCTAATAACAAAATGGAGCAGGAGATGGCTTCTACAACTTGGTTACTGCTAAGGATAAAGCAAATTGCAATACTAATACTTTTGGATTGACCAAAGAGACTATTTCTATAGTCAGTTCCTACATCTGGTCCTCATTATAGGTTCAACAACTGGATTTCAGCCGGGCATGGTGGCGCATGCTTGTAATCCCAGCACTCAGGAGGCTGAGGCAGGAGGATCGCTGTGAGTTTGAGCCCAGCCTGGGCTACATAGTGAGTTCCAGTTCAGTCTGAAGTACCTAGTGAGACCCTGTCTCAAAAACAAAACAAAACAAACAAACCAAAGAACTATATTTTAAGCAGTTTGGCCAATGTAATTAAACACTGGAAGAGTACTGCATGTTAACCAAATGCATTAAATACAAACAAGATGCTTATTTCTTAGTGTAGATGAAGGAATTAATGCTTTACTTATTATTATTATTTGTACTGGAGATCGAACTCAGGACCTTGTGCTGGCAATGCACATGTTGTGCTGCTGAGCTAAATCCCCAGCCCTCATTAATATCTTAATTTTTTTGTTGTTTTGTTTTTTGAGACAGGGTCTCACTATGTAGTTCAGACTGACCAGGAACTCGTTATGTAGCCCAGGCTGGTCTCGAACTCACATCAATCCTCTTGCCTCAGCCTCCTGAGTGCTGGGATTACCGGTGTGTGCCACCATGCCTGGCTTTAATATCTTAATATTAACTAAAGTATAAATGTGTGCTACCTAGGCAGGACACTCTTCCCAGAATTAAAGGGTTATTTTTTTTGTTTTGCTTTGTTTTGTTTTTCCCTTTCTTCATTGTTTTGGAATGAACTCAAAGCCTTGCACATGCCAGGTGAACCAGGATTTCTATTTACTTATTTATTTGCAGTACTGAGGATTGAATTTATGGCCTTTGCACTAAGCGAGATGAAATACCATTTTTTCTTTTTGAGACAGGGTTCTCCTAAATCACTACATTGCTCAGGCTGGGCTGAAATTTGCAATCTTCCTTCTACCTGGGCCTCTCAGAGTGCTGTGCCATCAAGTCAGGTTTGGATATTTTAAATGAAAGCATGATTATAGAAAGTACAGTTTTCATGAAGGTGTAAGTAGCTGGACTTAGGGTCTCCAATTCCAGGAAAGTGAGGAAAGCCCTGTTTTTTGGTGGCCAGCACAGAAGGGACCCTGGCCTGGTAGAAGACACAAGCGAGTTTCGCAGCCCCAACTCCATCCCTGGGAGCCGCTCTTGTCGCCAACCTCCATCCGAAGGTTCCTGGATCTCTCAAGAGGTTCAGGAGCTGTCACCTGGTCTGCCCTCCCGCCGGCCTCTATTGGCCCTGCGAGCGTTCATTGGCCACGCCTCTAGACCGGAGGGCTCCAAACCGGCCAGCGACCAGGGAGGTAGGTGTGCGGAGACCGCGCCTGCGCGCCCGCCGAACCAGGTAAGGGGCGGGAGGCCTTGGTGCCGGGCCAATTCGCTTGCCTGACGACAAAGTGACCAATCAGGAAGAGGGGTGTGGCCAGCGGGAACCCGCCTTGCGGCTGGCGGCCACGCCCGGGCGGATGGTGGTGGCTTCTCGCAGACTGTGGGCTCGGTCGCTCCGGGTCCCTTAATTCTGCTGTGCCTCCTAATTCCGCT